TGGAAGTATGACCAGGAACGAAAATTAACATATGGTAAGCAGATATTTATTGCACACCACTTCCCTATACTCTGTTTATGCATGACCTTGTATGTTACATTTGCCTAGTGTTTACAAACATGTTGTGATATGACCTGTGATTTGAAATCATTTCCAAATTTGGAGTGCAGTGATATTTTGTACCGATGGTTTGTTTCATCCGTTGTTTCCGGTGGGAATGGTCTATTAAATTGTTGCTGCTTTCACATTATAAATCCAGCTTTATTTATGTTTTAGCAAATGTTCTTTAGAAATCTAGACTGTATAAAATTTATGCATCTTATTTACCAGCAACTGAAATTCTTAGCATGATGACACTAGGCTGTTGTCATTTGCTTTACTTTATAAAGGATTTTACACTTCCCAGTGCCTGGGAACTAAGCTGATTTCGTTCAGTAACGTTTTTGAAATTCCCCAGGTATTCTGTTTCGGGTCATGGTGATCTTAATATTCTTGTTTTTTATATCTTCTTTGATATTGTGTCCTGACATTATCATTAGTGTTTTTGCCTGTTGAAGTCCTTATCTCCTTTTACTTGTGGCATTGTTGTTCTTGTGTCTTTTGTTTTCTGTTTTGCAAGGTACAGCATGTTTCATGCTCAGTGTTTTGAACACAGAGATCATGGGACAAAATTTCTAGCAGCTCAAAACTGGGAATTAATGATTAAAATTCTAAAGCCTTGACCTAGCAAGTCCTTTACTATATCATTGCTATCCAGCTAAGCATGTAACTGGCTTATTGGGGAGTGGAGGAACGTATGCCAGGAGCATCACTGAGTAGACCTAAAACTAGATCTAAACTTTTGGCAGCAGTTGAAGTGGCAAACTAAGTAATCCCACAACCAATGGGTCAGATCAAAGCTTTTGAAATCCTGGTACATTCTTTCATGAATTGTGGTGGACAATTAAACAAGTTAGTGGACTGATGAATCCACAAAAATCCTATCTTCAAAGTTGGCAGAACCCATGCCAGCAGTGCAAAAGCCAGAAGTGCTGAATGAATGATCCATCTCTGTCTACTTCTGAGGTCCACAGCAATACAGTTACCAGTCTTCAGCTAAATTGATTCACTTCACTTTATATCAAGAGTTAGCTGAGGACACTGGATACAACAAAACCTGAGCTCTGATCTTGTTCTGGCTGTAATACTGTAGAGTTGTGATCCAGAACTAGCCAGTAGGATAGTTATAGCATTGCTATCTGCTTAGCAATGTGGAAATTGCCTAGATATGTTCTGTCCACAAAATGCATCGCAGTTCTAATTTGTCTAATTACTGCCCTGTGTGTCTACTGTGAATCGGCAAAGTGGCGGCAGATGTTGCTGAATGGATGGCTTTTGGCATTGGTGAACAGGTTATTGCTCAAATAGCTTGTGCTAGGGCAAGTGGCTACTGACTTCATCATAATCTTGGTCCAAACATGGTCAAAAGAACTTTTTTTCTGCCCTTGACTACAAAATAGTTGTCACCAGAGAGCATGTTAAAATCAAGTAATCATTTTTAATCGGATCTTCTGTACCTTTTCTTTCCTTTTTCAATAATTTATAATCTGAGCATAAGTTCATGTTTTGCTGAGACAGAATGTTTAATTTCTTCTGTATTTATTGCAACACTAATAAGAAGCTAAAAATCATATGAGAGAAGAAACAACACTGCAATTTCCAGCCGATTTCTCTGACTTGGCAAAGTGCAGCAATCTACTATGCTAATCTATGGAAGTGTTCTAGAGAATCAAAGTGCAGCTTAAAACCATTTTCCTGCAGTCCATTTCTGAAAAGTGGTCTTAAAAGGACATGCTGTGTTAAACATGGCTGCATGATAAATGCTAGACTCTTCAATGCTGTTTCAGATACTTGAAAATTGAAGGTAAACCTGTTGATGTAAGATTGTCTTATCAAATCTTAAATGTTCAGATTTCTGATTGATGTTGCTTGTGGTCTTTTGAAAGTTACACTGTTGTGCAGAGGAGGTTGGATATAGTTGCCTCTAAAGGTTTCGAAATAAATATGTAATAGATATGCTGCAAGGTGATGAGATTAAATTTTTTTTTTTTGCCTTAGTTCATGGAAAGAAAGCATTCTTCTTTTGACCACTACAGTTAGTTAAAGAAATACATTTGCTTCCCTTGTATATCAGACTTAGGGAGAGGTAAGCACTTGCATTTTTATAATGAAAAACTTAGGTATTTAACTTTCTATTAGGGTTTTGTGAACTATTGCTGCAGCTTTTGCCATTTTTCTACAGCATTAGTCACCTAGTTCATGTACCGGAAACACCCCCCCAACTTGATGGCAGAAACATTTTGCCATCTACTTTGCCTGTAGAAAGCAAAGACTGATTCATGTAACTTTGTCGACTTAACTTTTTACTCCTCATTTCTGTGTGTTTTATTGTATTTTTTTCTTCACATTTTGGTAGCTAATAAACTAACTTTCTTTAACTTAAGCCTGTTTAAAATGGCTCCTTTTAAAACATAAATGCATTATGATTGGGAAAGCTATCTAAGACAGAGTACTTTGTTTCAAGTTAATCTTGTTGCAACCAACAGAGGGAGGGGTTTGAATAAAGGCGGGGAACCAGTTCTTCCTTTCGCGCCTGGGATTGTAATGAATGCAACCCTCACCCAGAGACTGCTATGACCAATGTTCTTTCCGTCCTTATCCTTGGGTAAAGGTATAAGATGCAATGCTCTAAACCATAAGAAATGTATTTCTTTTAAATAGTGTCCTTGAAAGTGTCCTTGACATATTAGCTTTTACCCAGGATAGTGAACAGGCGCTAGTCAATTTTGTTTTTTGTTTCATTTGAAGATCAAGATAGTGGACAAAAGAACTGAAGGAAACATTAAATTACTTGTTATGTACCAAATATCAGTACAACAGCACTGAATGTCAGAGATTTAATATATATAATCATAAATAAAACCCAATGAGTATTTGGAGCACCCCAACCCCCCTCTTCCCCCTCCACAACACACACACCAAATCACCAGCAAATTTGTACTGATAGAATTCTTTCAGAATTACCCTGGTTTATTTTATTTGCGTTGAATCCTTATTCAGATGTAATCTAAAACAGAAGATCCTATGTTTGCTTGGGTGCACTTGCTGTGTGGATGTGTAGCCTGGCTTTCAAACGTAGAATAAATTACAACTGCAGTTGTCCTGTGCCCTCTAATCTTGATGTTTATTGCTGTAATTGATTAACAAATGAAACAAATTAGCATTTTCTGTAAACATTTGCAATAGAACATGCAACTAAAAATTAAATGAGGGCATCATTTTGAAATGCAAGTTTTAGTTTCACAAATTAAGCATAGTACACGTGTAAATAAATAGTCCCTCGAGTGTAAATAAATAATACCTTGAATGTGGGAAATAATCTTTTAATTTTCATTTCAGTTAAGTTCACAGAAAGCATATGTTTATTTTAATGTCTGTATTAAATGAAAATCCACTCTTCCTAATCAGAGTTAGTGCCATCTTTAATACTTTCCCACTGCTAGGGAGTGGACAAATAGCAAACTCTGGCAATAAATGGCAAGTTCTGCTGTCGAATTATTAAAACTACTCACAAAGTGGTTGGAGAGAATTTTAGGAGATATTGTCCATCCTCTTGGGTGCTCCATTTTTGGAGTGGGAGCAAACTTCCGAGGAAGGCATTTCAGGCAAATTACAGTTATATAATTACATTGAATAATTTGAACATTTCCATGTCATATTATGCTCGGTTCATGTTTCCAATACTAATTTGTTGATTTGCATGTGAAACTAAGGTAACCATTGAACCATTTCAAAAAAACCTGGAGCAACTTTCTTCATTTTGTTTTCAGCCTGTTATTATTGATAACCCTTTATTGACTGGTATGTTTAATGTTCCATCCAGTTTTAGTTGTTTGTTATTATGTGTACAGCCCCTGCAGATGATTTGTTTCTTGAACATGATATTTAAACTAATTGAGTGTATGTTTGAAGCATTGTCTGATGGGCGTGATACATGTATGAACTGCAGAGTACACATAGCTTCGTGGAACGAAAGTTGGCGTAGTTACATATTCTTACCACTTCAATGACTGTCCCTTTATACATCCCTTCCCTCTCCCACCACACAGGTTTTTTTTTTACCATTTTTCTACAGCATTGGTCACCTGGTTAATGTACCAGAAGCACCCAACTTGATGGCAGAAACATTTTGCCATCTATTTTGCCTGTAGAAAGCAAAGACTGATTCATGTAACTTTGTCAACTTATCTTTTTACTCCTTTTTACATGTTGCACCTCCAAAGACTTCCGTCTGTGGAAGTTCCCTTTCCAATCCTTCCATTTTTCCACTAACCTTTTCTCTAAATTCTTTGCCAAAATGTGGCACTCCTGCCTCAAGCTTCTTCTGGCCATACCTCCTAATATTTCCACACTTTGTATTGAGCTCCAACTTTTGTCTTATTACTTCATGATGCACCTTTCTCCATTTATTGAATATAAATTGTGGTATTATAATTGAAATGCAATTGTTAGTGCTATATTGGCATCTAAGATCTGTACTCGCGCAGTATACTGATACTTCTGCAAATTTTTAATGTTCTTTAGCTGGAGAGTTGTTTATGAATATGGAAGTTACAATAGCTCATGAAACTGTTGCAGAAACCTATGTGGAAGAAGGTCTTCAGAAGTAGCACTTAGTTGCCAGTATTACCTGAACAAGTAAACTGTACCTTTCTTTCCTGTTTAGGAAACTTAGCAGAATCAAAAGGCTTCAAATTCTATTGTAATTTCAATACATGCAAGAAGCCCTTGGGGAGCTTTTAGTAATTCTCTTTTCTAAAGTACTTCTTAAGTACCATAGATCTGTATTTCAATCCCACCCCACCCCACCCCACCCCCTTTTTATTGCTGGAAATAGTCATTTGTATAGATAAGTTAAAGCCATGATTGTCATTGATATTTATGGTTATGTCCCTCTCTAGGGAAAGCTCACTGCCAGGGAACGTGTCCAGCTGCTTCTGGATCCTGAGTCCTTTATAGAATATGACAAGTTTGTGGAACATAGGTGTTCGGATTTTGGCATGGGCACAGAAGATGATAAGGTAACAACTATAAAATATCAATCTGAAGGTATTGCATGCCCATAGCCAAAACTACTGTTGTGCTATAAATTTGATTGTAAAAATATTAGTGTCTTTCCTTGCCGGACCACAGATTACAGTTTGTATGCCGAAGGGACAGTGGCTGCACCTTTTGAACTGGCTTGAAGATTATATAGGAATTGCATGCTTGAAGATGTAGATTTTTCTGGCTGTTCTTTCAGGTGTTAAAAATTTGACAAGAACAATACATTCCCCCTACCCCAAATGATTTCGACTTGTTGATTTGGACTTTACTTTCATTTCCAATCTCTTGGAGTGACAAATGAATTGGGCTAATGAATAAGGTGCTGAAACAGACCCTTGATAAAAAGTTCCTTGGTAAATAAGTTAGAGAATTTTTTTCCTGTGCACTAGAACTGCTGTTTGCAGTGTATGATGTTTAGTTTCCAGCATACCTGCTAAACCTTTGTTTTTCGGTTTACCAATTTATGATTGTGCTTGAAAGGAAAACAAATCTTTGATATTCTGTGCCTGGGGGAATTTTCTATGTTTATTTGAATGCTACACAACAGTTATGCATTTCAGTGGTATAGGAGCTATTGTACTGGATGACCAACTCCAAAGCCATACTTTGAAGACAAATTCAGTAAATCTCTATTTCTAAACATAAAGCAAAGAAATAACAGAATCACAGAATTGTTAGGGTCTAGAAGGAGGCCATTTGGTCCACTGTGCCTGCACCAGTTCTTTTACCTAGCCCATCCCCAGACTGTTGTTGCATTGTTGCATCACACCATTACAACTAAACCTCCAATGCCCTCTTGAATCCCTCACTTGAAGTAAAGAAGTGAGCTGCACATTTCTGGGAGGATGTTCTGCTGAGAGCACCCTCAGAAATGCAAATCTCATCTCAGAAATGCAGAGCTATACTTCTTTTCTAACAGTACCTCTCTAGTGCAGAACTGTTAGAGGAAGGCATACCTCATCCCCTTTTCACAGCAGTCAGTTAAGTAGTTTGCCTGCTGCATAGGGTACCAAGTGGGGAGGCAGTAGAGTCCCATGGTAGGATGCCAGATGAGTAGGGGTAGGGTGCCAGAGGTATTTAAGTAAGATTTCATGTTTAAGATGCCAGATAGGTATGAAGTAGGGTGCTAGGTGGGGAGAATTATCAGCCAGGTAGTGAACAGGTAAATGATGCATTGTTTAGAGTAGATTGGGGTAGTTGAGAGAAATTTAGGTCTGGCAGGATCTGGCCAGATTTGCAGGGTGGGGGTGTTGGGATGTGGCTGGGTGGTCAGGTCAGAGTCTGCAGGAGTTGTGATTATGGAGGGGTGTGAGGTAAGTGTAGATAGTTATTCAGGAGTTTGATTATGTCTAACTAATTAATAGTCTAACTTTTCATGAGTAACTGATTAATTGCATTGGAACCATCCATTGTCTCCAATTTAAATGAAGACTTTGGGAATGCTCCAAATGTCCAAGGCAATTCCTTTGGTACGTGCTGCAGTGGGGATTTGGCAATGTCCCTATGCACAAGTCTAAACCGTATAACAACTGTCTGGCAAATGTGAAATTCAGGCTAGAATTTATTCAGCAAGGGGAAGGGGTGCTGATAGGTTGGGTTATTTGCAAGTGCAAATGCATCACGCTACAAATCGCACTGTATTTGCACACACTAGAGTTTTTGTATATTAACACGGGAATATAGCAAAATACCTGCACCGCAGTTAGAAATCTGAAATAGAGAGGAAAAAAAGGTTTCTCTGGCATGTTCTCTTTTTATTTAACACAGGACTCTATTTCATGTAGGCAAATGGAATTTGTATATACGTTGCATCTTTCTCATTGGGAAAATAATGAGGCTACCTGTCTGGTCTGAGAGCTGGGATTGACAGTTAGCTGCTCTTGCTGCATCTCTACACCAAAAATGGCTCAACCAGTCAGAATCCTCTCCTCCTGTTGCATTAATTGATGGTCCAAATTATTGCCACTCTATTTCTTATGTCCTGGTCCTGATGGGTGCTAGACTCCTTTTCTCCTCTTAGCAATATTTCTTTATTACCAAGCATCTTCTTTTAAATTTGTGTGAATAAACTGGAAAACAAAAACCTAAGCTAATGAAGGGTGGACATAAAAGGGAAAATATAACATGGAAAGGTAACAATTGACAAGTAGAGCATCGGTGATATGATGAGGAAAAATAATCCTGAGATAAGGAATAAAAGAAGGTTAGTATAAAAGTAAAATTCAATCTTGGCCCTTTGCTGAAGTGCCCTTCTTTATTAAAAGCTCTGGGAACAGAAAGGCCCAATATTTTCTTTGAAATAATAGAGAATTGCTTTTGAGATTCTCATCACATTTATCATTAGTGATAAAGGAAATTTTTTAAGAAATGGAATAATTACTGAATTACAGAGAACTGAATAATTCAATATTTTTCTGTAAATCAGCATTTACAGCTATGCAAAAATAACTTTTCCAAAGTTTATGGTTTATCTTTTGGAGTGGAAAGTGTATGATATTGTCCAAAACCTAACATTTAATTTAAGTAAAACATTTTTGATCTAATTTTCTACCTGCACTTGACATATCTATCACTAATAAGAATTGTCACAGCCTTCTATTCAGTGTAGGTTTTAAAGTGTAGTTCTTTCACCCAAATCATATGTTGCAGGATTGATTAATGTATATCTTCAATGAATTGACAAAAGAGATTTCATTAGAATGTTCTCAATTGCCAATATCTTTGAAGGAAGACCTGCACTTCACAGAATGTGATAGGAGAAAGATTATAGGGAGGTAATATACTCCCTCATCCCTCTCCGGGAGAAACAGACAATTTAATTCATTATCAAACTGTAACTGGTGTTTTAAGATTCCTCTGGAGAATTGGCTTGGCATAATCACTCCAGTATCTGAATGGCACAGGTCCAAAGTACAAAGCTGCCCACAAATGAACACTGGCTGGCATGAAAAAAAATGACATTGATAATGATATTCCTCGCAGGTGGGCTGAAGGCACATTATTGGGATAAGGTAGAAGGAAATTTTATTTTGCACTCGAGGCTTTCTTCCTGAAGTCTAATTGCCTCATGCTGAAGTTTGCATGCTAATATTCTTCTAACACCCATGACAATTTTCAATGTATTATGCACAATACAGTGTGTAATGGTTACACATTCATTACTCTTCAGAAGCTTTTTTGTAAAATATAATTGTATTTAGTATTTTCTTAAACATATTGAATCAGGTTCTGAAATATATCCTGCAGAATTGAAGAAGTTGAGTGGGTGCTAACTACATCCTTGAACACTTCTGGCTTTTTACAAGATAACTTGGTTATTAAATTAGAGATGACAAGGTGTAGAGCTGGATGAACACAGCAGGCGAAGCAGCATCAGAGGAGCAGAAAAGCTGACGTTTTGGGTCTAGACCCTTCTTCAGAAATGGGGGAGGGGAAGGGGATTCTGAAATAAATAGGGAGAGAGGGGGAGGCGGAGGCGGATAAAGATGGATAAAGGAGAAGATAGGTGGAGAGGAGACAGACAGGTCAAGGAGGCGGGGATGGAGCCAGTAAAGGTGAGTGTAGTTGGGGAGTTACGGAGGGGATAGGTCGGTCCAGGGAGGACGGACAGGTCACGGAGGCGGGATGAGGCTGGTGGTAGGAGATGGGGGTGGGGCTTGAAGTGGGAGGAGTGGATAGCTGGGAGGACAGGTTAGGGAGGCGGGTACGAGCTGGGCTGGTTTTGGGATGCGATTGGGGGAGGGGAGATTTTGAAGCTTGTGAAGTCCACATTGATACCATTGGGCTGCAGGGTTCCCAAGCGAAATATGAGATGCTGTTCCTGCAACCTTCGAGTGGCATCGTTGTGGCATTGCAGGAGGCCTAGGATGGACATGTCATCCCAGGAGTGCGAGGGGGAATTGATCGCGAACTATCCCTTCCCTAACTCCCCACCTACGCTCACCTTTACTGGTTCCAACCCTGCCTCCTTGACCTGTCTGTCTCCTCTCCACCTATCTTCTCCTCTATCCATCTTCTCTCCGCCTCCCCCCCTCCCTATTTATTTCAGAACCTCCTTCCCCTCCCCCATTTCTGAAGAAGGGTCTAGACCCGAAACGTCAGCTTTCCTGCTCCTCTGATGCTGCTTGGCCTGCTGTGTTCATCCAGCTCTACACCTTGTTATCTCAGATTCTCCAGCATCGGCAGTTCCTACTATCTTGGTTATTAAATTTCCAACTTTGCTATATGAGTTATGATAATATTCTGAATGTCACTTCTGTCTTTATTAGTTTCCTCTTTGTTTTTGAACCATCTCATAGTTTCCTGGTGACAGTGTGGTGACTGGTCAGGGCCGAATTAATGGGCGACTCGTTTATGTCTTCAGCCAGGTAATATAGTCATGTTTAATTTAAGGTTTATGGTCCTGAAAAGATTAAATTGCCGGGAGTATTATTTCTTTGTGGGACAGAATGGGAAGGTAGAGAGCTGTGAATTCCTCTCTGTAGAACAGTGACTACACTTCAAATGCATGCCACTGACTAAAAAGTGTTTTGACATATTTGGTAGTCATGAAAAGTATTGTATAAACACAAGTTTCTCTTTTTCACACTCCGTTTTGAAGTATACAGGACAGGTGATTCTCCAAGATTATGCTCTAAATCTCAAGCAAAGAACAATGATGTTATTTTTGGTTGCATTAATGACACAGTGTGTGGCTTGTAACTTAATTTGAAAAATGATAATGTGAAGATCTAAAATGAATAGTCTCACTGTTAACATTGTATTTGAATTGGAAATGTCAGCAACTGTATCAACCTGCTTTTTGCAATCAGTGTGAGGATGAAGTCAATATTTCTCCCTATTTTTCCTGATTCCATTCCCTTTGAATTGAGGTTTTAGAAACATTCTGTAACTTAGGGTTACCACTTGAATATTCTTTCAGTATTTTAGGTTAATTTCTGTAAATTGGACTTGTATCCTGGATCTCTCAAGTTACTAATCAATTCATGATGTTTTCTGAAATTTATCAAATTTCCTAATATAGGTTGAGATTTTGTGTTAAGAGTAGAAGGTATAAGAAATGATAAATTGTTTTGCTACATTATTGAAAACGGCCGAGTGATTACCCCCTCCCTACTCCCTGCTTCTAATGAAAGATAGAGACTGCTGACCAAAGTAAATATTAATGAAATAATTGTTTATTTCAAAAAGCAGATACTCATCCTTCTGGTGCGTAACTAAGTTTTCTTTAAATTCCTTTGCCTTACTGATTTGTTTCCTAACCACTGCCTTTCCCTGTTGGCCTCTGGTCAAATTTTGAGGTGCTTTAGTAAATTCTGCATCTTACTGAGGCTACTGTATAGTGGTGAGTCGTTTTAAATAGTGTTTTTCTTTTAAATGTGGGGCTGCAGTATCCTGTCTGGCTCGTTGCTCAATGGGAAGAACACAGCACCTCACATTATTATACAAAACTGATGCACATTGTACTTTGCTAACAACTTTTTTTGTTTTCCTTCGGTAGGACTTTACAGTGTTTGGAGGAAGTTTGTCAGGAGCTCATGCACAGAAGATCTGTAAGGTAAAGACATGAATGAATGGGAGTGATAATTTGAGACAAGTCATTCAGTAATGCCTGAGTAAGCCCATATTGGTGAAGACCTAACTTTTGTGCTTCAGAGCTGAATTCAACTGTAAGGAAAAGTTCTATGCACACGGCTCTGTTACCTTTACAAACTAAGATGTTGGGCATATTAAAACAAAATGCCCTACTTATTTTATGGTTTTTAATAGGATAGTAGCAGCAAAATAATGTGGATGCAGGGAATCTTAAATAAAAATTTGAAATACTCAGGTCTGACAGCATCTGCAGAGGGAGAAAAACAGTTACATTTTAGGGTATTAAAAGTAACGTTTTGCAGATGCTGGAAATATGAAATTACTTGAGAAACTCAGTTGGTCTAGCTACATCCGTGTAGAGAGAAACAAAGTTAACATTTCAACTCCAATATGCCTCTTCAAGTTTGTTTCTCTCACATAGGTCTGAGAGACTTATTGAGTTTCTCCAGCATCTTCTGTTTTTATTTAACATTTTAGGCCAGTTATCTTTGGAAGTAATGAAGGGTCATTGACCTGAAAGATTGACTGTTTCTCCCTCGAGTTGTAGGAGAGCAGTTTGTTAAATTGTGGGTGATATACGAGATCTTTTAAAATGTCGTTTCTAGTTGCTGTGCTTTACAGTTACCTCTCTTCCCCACCACCGTTCGCCAAGATAGCCTATAGCCCACATCCATTGCTTAGTATAGCCGCTATTTGTTTCTGTACTTTGCTTTTAAAAGGCTTGATAGAATTAAGTTGCCCCACTAAAATGGAATGACTTACATTATTTCTACTGAATCTAATCAGTACATCGCTCTAGTATAACCACTGAATAGAAGAAGATGGGAATTATTTTTCACCACTGTTTTACTTGCAATGATCTAATCAAAGTTATTTGTGTGTCTTTCTAGATTATGGATCAAGCTTTGTTGGTAGGAGCTCCTGTTATAGGACTGAATGACTCTGGAGGAGCACGTATTCAGGAAGGTGTGGAGTCCTTGGCTGGTTATGCTGACATTTTCCTGGTGAGATTGGAAAGATTTTTTACACTTCTAAAGTACTTTTCTTGAAGAAGAAAGTAATTTCTACTATATTTTTATTCTACCGTCTAAAGTACACCTTGAACAGTATTAAATATACAATAGAATGCAGGTTTTGCTTAGCTGTAGTTCTGACAGATTCATCATTCGTAAGTATAAAAATAATTGTCAAATATTATCTTTCATTTAGAGGTAATTATGTATTTCCCACGCTTCTGTATTTATTCGCAGAATGCGGGAGTCACTGCCACATTCTTTATTACCTGCCCTTACTTTCCCTTGAAGATCGTGGTGAGCATTTTTAAATGCCATTGATCATTTCCTCATGTTCTGTGTTAAGGATAAGCAGATGATGTATTTCCACTTGTCTCTGCCAGTGCTGCTGACTTGGTTGGTCTGGATAACTTTTCGATTCCAGTTATTTTGAATTAATGCCAAATCTATGCTTTATCATCTAGGCTAAAACTTACCAAATACAAGAAGGAATCTTGTCTTTTTTAAAAATGCATTGTTCATTCACAGGATGTGGACATAACTGAAATTTATTGATTATTACCATCAACAGCATAGCTTGCTAGTTGATTTCAGAGGGCAAGTTAAAGGACAGCTGGGTCTACAAAAAGGACAAAGTGGTAAAAGGTGGGGGATCTTCTTCCCCAAAGGAATTCAGTAAACTGGTTAGATGTCTTGTTAGTTTTATGGTCAGCACTACTGGACTAGCTTTATATTTAATTAATTGATTTTAAATTTCTAACTATGGTGGTTTGACTTGCTTCTAGATTACCAATCCAGTAATATAATCATTCTGCAACCACATCTATACTGCGAATCATGTTATAGGAATACAATGTTTTGAGAATTTTTTTTATTAGTGATGTCACTGGAGTAGAGTTGGGGTGTGAAATTTAACATGGAGTAGTTGATGTGCCATGATAAATATGATGAATGGCTCAATAAGGATAGGCATATTACATAATGTGATATGAGAATGTATTCACAAGGTAATGCAGTGTGTCCAGTCCAACTGTAAAATAGAACTTCATATGATTTTACAATTTTAAGTATTTGGTCAGGAAATCTTATTAATTCAAGGCTGAGCCTCAGGTCTTTCATAGAATCGTAGAATCCCTACTGTATGGAATAGGCCTTTTGGCCCAACAATTCCACCCCACCCAAAGAGCATCCCGCCAGACCCATCACCCTACCCTTTACCCTTTAACTGTAACCCTGCATTTCCCATGTCTAATCCATCTAATTTACATACTCCTGGACACTACGGGCAATTTAGCATAGCCAATCCACCTAACCTGCACATCTTTGGCCTGTGGGAGGAAACCAGAGCACCCGGCAGAAACCCACATAGACACGGGGAGAACTCCACACAAACAGTCACGGAGGGTGGAGGTGAACCTGTGTCCCTCGTGCTGTGAGGCAGCAGTGCTAACCACTGAGCCACCGTTCAACTTAATTGGTCAAACAAATTTGCAAATTCTAGCAAGAACTGTGATAGTTCAAGAAGGCAACTCACTGCCACTTTCTCCAGGGCAATTAGGGATCGGCAATAAATGTTGACCTAGCCAGCGAAGTCCACATCCCTTTGAACTTTTTAAAGCAGAGGACCATGCTGTTTATTTTAGGATCAAGGTGAGCAGAATGTATCAGAATTGTCTTCGTTAAAAACAAAAATGCGATGCCCACATGTGCCAATATATCACTTTCAAAATTACCTACACTTGGTAGGTACCCCCTCCCACTGCCGTTCCCCATTCCCTTCGCTATCAGAGGTCAGAGATGGGGATATTCACTGATGATTGCACAGAGATTGCCATGACTAGAAAGAGAACTGTACCAGCTATATAAGTACTATGGCTACTAGAGAAGTCAGAGGCTAGGAATCATGTGCTAAATAATTTTACCTCCTGTCTTTCCAATGCTTGTTGACTGCCTGTAAGGCACAATTTGTGCATGTAATGGATTACTCACTGCTGACGTGGATGAGTGTAGCTCCAACAACACTCCTGAAATTGAATACCATTCAGGAAAAGTCAGCCCACTTGGTTGACACCCTATCGAACACCTTCTGCATTTGTTCCCTTCACCACCAATGTGTAGTGGCAGCAGTTTGCAAGGCATCTTGTAGATGGTTCAGTAACTCACCAAGGCTCCTTGGCAGCACCTTCCAAATGCAATGACCTCTACCACCTGGGAAGCCAAGGGCAGAATAAGCATGGGAATATCACCGTCTTCTCCAAGTTGCACGTCATTCTCATTTAGGACTAGATTACAGTTCCTTCACATTCACTGGTTCAAAAATCCTGGAGCTCCTTCCTAACAGCACCGTGGGTGTCCTTACACCTCAAGAATTGCAGTGGCTCAAGGTTGCTACTCACCACAGTCACTTTCAGGGCAATTAACATCCACATCCCATTAACAAATGAAAAGAAAATTCTGTTGCAATTAGTTTTTCGTTCATGCGCTCCCCAGCACAGTTTATAAGAGTGGATTTGTGCACCCTGTCTCTGTAGCATTTTTTCTATGCTGCGCCATTGTTAGTTTTTGGAGGAAGCACAGTTTTGTGCCACCACTTTCTTTCCCTATGCTAAGTACCTGAACCTGGCAAATCAACCATCTACAGTAATGTTTTGACCACATTTGGATTTGTTGAACTTTGATCTTCACCATTTTTTTCCTTGTCTTTGTCTATGAAAGTACTGTAGTTTTTGGTTTTGTTATGCAATTTATGGAAGTGTCATTTTAAAATTTGCCACAATTCTTAAAAATATAAAAATTACAACAATTCTGATTGGTTTTTTTCAATATTCTGGTGATGCGTTAAACGTAGTTTTATCCTTCCATAAAATACATTAATTAATGGACTGCAATAGTGAAATAACCTTTCTAGAAGAGTTGTTGACCATCAGGGGATATGCTTAATTTATCTTCCCACACAATCAATGGCATATTTTTGTACAGGTTTGCAAACACTTTGCTAGTAAACACGAATTTAATATGTTACAGAGAAATGTACTGTCCTCTGGTGTCATTCCTCAAATATCCCTTATTATGGGTCCTTGTGCTGGTGGCGCTGTCTACTCACCTGCATTGACAGATTTCACATTTATGGTGAAGGTAAGGTATAATGTGATTTAATTACAGAAATTTTTCCACTGTGCTGTTAGCGGCCAATGTGGCATGACAAATATTTCTAGAATGCAGTGCTTTTCCCAGGCTGACCAGCAGAGGCCCGTTACAGGAGAGGGGCTGGTTGGGTAATTTTGCGGGGAGGGCGACTGGAAGGGGAGAGTGTCATGTAGGGAGAACATGGTGAAGGTGGGCCAGGATGGAGTGGGAGAGGACCTAAAGGCTGCACATGTGCAGCAGTGTGAGGTTTTGGGAGAGGGGCTCAACGGCTGGGGGTCGTAGAAGAGGATCCGCGTGGTGGGACAAGCATGAGGTGGGATGAGGGTGGGGGGTTGCAGGGCTTGAATGAAGGGGTTCAGTGTGGGAAGGGTGGAGGAGAGGGGTTGGTGGGAGGAAAGACAAGGACATGGTGGGCTGAGGGTAGGTGAGAGGTGTTGGGGTCTGCAGAGATGGGATGATGCGAGGGTAGGGGAGTTGAGCTAGGTTGGAGGGTCATGGCATGGGCTGAGGATATGGGAAGAGGTCTCACGGGGGAGGACAAGCAAGGGCTGGAGTTGAGGAATTTAAAGGGGAGCTTAGCTATTGAACTCAGTCAGAGCTCTCCAGCAGCCATTGCTGCAGGCAGTGCCACTTGGGGGCCACAACCCATAGTAATGGAAGCCCTGTCCTAGAGGGTGAAAGAATGAGAAGTGATTTAAAACACAAAAAGTGCCCACGAGCTTTACAATGTAGATGCTGAAAGATGCTTCCACTGACTCAGAAGTTGAGGATGAGGGACCAGTCTCAGAATAAGGGATCAGCCATTTAGGGTTGAGATGAGCAGAAATGCTACTTAAGGGGTTGTGAATTTTCAGAATTCTAAACCCCAGAGGATTCTGGTTGTTCAGTTATACAAGGCAGAGATTGATATATTATTCAATACTAAGAAAATCAAATGCAATTAAATAGTGTGAAAAGGTGTAGTTGAGGTAAAAGATCAATCATGATCTGAGTTAAAAATGGAGGACGGTGAAAGGGCCAAATGACGGACACAAACTGTTTGTGATGTTATGAAAAAAATTCTTTGGTAATGTACGGGTTTCAGTATTTTTGCTTGATTAACAAGATATCAGAGAGATACAGGAGGCAACAAGGCTTTGAAAAAGGTGGGGAAGTTGCAGTCTCCTTTTGAGTATTGGCTTATTGGATTACGATGCAATATCTGGCGTTGCTGGTTCTACTTATCTGCACTGTTGAAGTTCTTCTCTAGCTCCTTATTTTCAGACTCTAGACACTGCTGATTTCCATGTTTACTATGTGTCTGCTGCAATTACAAATTGTTAGTGTTAAGTTTTTGTTTTGCGTTTTAAGTCCATCTTCTTTGCTTCTAACTGAGTCCCTTGATTGAAACCCAAAGTATATTCTTTTAAGCCAAATAAGATGTATGATGATACTGAGTAAGAGGTTCTGTTTTAGAAGTTGTTACTATAGTCATAAACTAATTCTTTTTATTAGTTGGTGATAATTAAATCAATATTGAGATGTGGTTTCACATTGTAGGATACATCTTACTTGTTCATAACTGGTCCTGATGTAGTGAAATCTGTCACAAATGAAGATGTGACTCAGGAAGATCTGGGTGGTGCTAAAACACACACTGCAATTTCAGGTTAGATGGCATTCATTTACAGTGTAAATATTTTTACTGAGTGCATACAGCACTCTAAGGTGTCAGACTGACAGTGAGTGATTTATATTTTGAACCTTAAATATGCTGAATCCTTGGCTGCCATTTATCTAGCTCAGGTAGTGGGGTTATCACATCCTTTGTCAGTTTGCTGGGTACAGTTCCTCTTCTATTCAGACCTTCAGTTGGATTTAGATTTTGGTTTTAATTTAATAAAATATTCCTACAAATCTGATGGGAGGAGTGCACTGCAAATAAAGCCCCACTACACTCTGAACCATATCAAAGGTCAATGTTTATATGATCACAGAAAAACTGTTCTTCTTTTTTACTGTTATCTAAATTGAAAGAGACGTTTGCCAGGTTTCTTCAGTAAACTCAAAAGTAACTTGTTTATTAGAAACAAGGTTATGCTTTAAATATATGGCCAAACTGGTTATCAACTAAGCTACAATGCAAGACTAAACTCTATCCTCCCTTTTTCTCACATGCACATGCATACACAGGACAATACAACACTGCCGCAGAGCAATTTTAAGTGGCATAATAGAGAAAAATTCTGTTGATCACGAGCCCAAACTAAAAGGGTAGAATGTTCCTATGTTTTCTTGTTGACAATATTACACTTCTGTCAGCCACAAGTGATGGAAGACCTTCAGTTTGGGGAGCAGGTCAGTCAGGCGTGGGTCTTGTGACTGAATTAACATGTCGGCTTTCGGAGTTTAGAAGGATGTCAGAGATGTTGATTCTTGGAGTCTTCTTTGTCTGTCCAAAAATACTTCTGAGATATTTCTTCTTCTGCTTGTTTAGGAGTTATATTATTCCTCCCTGAGAAAAAGGGGAGATGTTTTCCCTTTACCGACTAATTCCAACTTCACACAGCTTCCAAGTCTGTTTGCCAACCATTAATGTAATAAAACTCTACCCTTGTCTGTCTTTTTTTAAATAAACTGGCTTGTGTTTGCCACAGTTTCCTTCTTGTAAAAGCACAGACCCCAGTTCTTTTGATTTTTGTGTTCCAAAATTGCAACCTGGAAGTTGTTTAAATTTTCATTTTTCAAATTCTCGTAATCTACAAATATATATTTGTTCACAACAATATAAATTTGTTCAGTGGATAACAAACTGTCTGAAATCATGTAAGGTTATACTTCTACAAATCAAAGATTACCTTGCACAGATTAGCGATAACTGTCAGGGTATAACAGATACCGAACAAAAGATTTATTTTCTTGGATTATCTGGAAAAACCTGCAAGATTTTTGACTGTTTGTTTGGACATATTGTAGATTTCCTGTTTGACAAGAAATCATGAGCCTGTCCCACCGAGCCATAATGCCTTGTGTGTCACAATACAATATTTATGACTCACCAGCATCTGTATGCCTCTTGAAAGGGGGAAAAATAAAATCCCATTGAGGAAAACTGGAAAATTCCCGTCAAGCCCCAAGCGTGATCAAAATTCTCCAGCTGGCCCTGGCGACCTTGACTTCTATCTGCCTTTTCATTGATATCAGCTCCACCCCAGCCAGAAACCTACTTGGCTCTCTTGACTATACACTTGAGCTGACAGCCTGTTCTATGAGTCATTCTTCTCTGAGGAAAAGGTGTTCCAATTAATATCCAACCCATTGCTACCCCTGTTTAACTTGCAAGCAATCTATCCAGTTTAAATAATTTGCCCATCAAAGAGAGAGCATTGTTCCTTCATTCTTTTGTAAAACTCGATCGGATTACTCAAGTCATTAATATGTAGAAAACTAGTGCTTTAAACTGCGAATTAATGTTGCTACATTATTTTTACAGCCTCTGTATTCGTTCCTATTAATGTTTAGTAACGAATGCAACCTGGTACTGCAGTGGACTGAGAAAATCACATTGCTAGTGAATTGCAAGAAAAGGATTTTGTGGAATGTCTACAAGATGATTTTTTTTTGGAGCAGCTTGTGGTGGAGCCCACTAGGGAACAGGCAATACTGGATTTAGTGTTGTGCGATGAGGCAGACTTGATAAGGGAGCTTAGGGTGAAGGAATCCTGAGGAGGCAGTGATCATAATATGATTGAATTTACTCTGCAGTTTGAGAGGGAGAAGATAAAATCAGAGGTTATGGTATTACAGCTGGATAAAGGCAACTACAGCGACATGAGGGAAGAGCTTGGCAGAATTGACTGGCAGAAGAACCCAGCAGTAAAGACTGTGGTACAGCATTAGCAGGAGTTTCTGGGAGTAATTCAGGAGACACAACAAAAATTCATCCCTAGGAAAAAGAAGCATACTAAAAGGAGGACGAGAAAACCATGGCTGACAAGGGAAGTCAGGGTTAGCATGAAAGGAAAAGAGAAAACATATAATGTGGTGAAGAGCCTTTCTCGGGGTGGCAGCTGGTGACAAGTGGTGTCCACAAGGGTCAGTGTCGGGACCACAACTTTTCACTTTAGACATTAATGATCTAGGTGAAGGAACTGAGGGCATTGAGTAAGAACGGCAAAGTCACAGTGACCATTGGGGATTTCAATATGCAGGTGGACTGGGAAAATCATGTTGGTAGTGGATTACAGGAAAAGGAGTTTGTGAAATGTCATGAGATAGCTTTTTGGAGCAGCTTGTGGTGGAGCCCACAAGGGAACAGGCAATACTGGATTTAATGTTGTGCAATGAGGCAAACTTGATAAGGGAGCTTAAGGTAAAGGAACCTTTAGGAGGCAGTGATCATATGATTGAATTTACTCTGCAATTTGAGAGGGAGAAGATAGAATCAGAGGTAACGGTATTACAGCTGAATAAAGGCGACTATAGAGGTATGAGGGAGGAGCTGGGCAGAATTGACTGGAAGAGGAGCCTAGCAGGAAAGACAGTGGAACAGCAATGGCAGGAGTTTCTGGGAGTAGTTCAGGAGATGCAGCAAAAATTCATCCCTAGGGAAAAGAAGCATGGTACAGGGAGGATGAGGCAACCATGGCTGACTAAGGAGGTCAGGGATAGCATAAAAGCAAAAGAGAAGGCATATAATGTGGCGAAGGGCAGTGGGAAACCAGAGGACTGGAAAGCTTACAATGACCAACGGAGGGCAACAATAAAAAGAAATAAGGAGGGAGAAGATTAAAAATGAGGGTAAGCTAGCCAGTAATATAAATGAAGACTGTAAGAGTATCTTTAGGTATATAAAGGGCAAAAGAGAAGCAAAAGTGGACATTGGACCACTGGAAAATGACAGTGGAGAGATAGTAGTGGGGAACAAGGAAATGGCTGAGGAACTGAATAATTACTTCGCATCAGTCTTCACGGTGGAAGACACGAGTAAAATCCCAAAAATTCAAGAGAGTCAGGGGGCAGAGCTGAGTATGGTGGCCATCACCAAGGAAAAGGTGCTAGTAAAACTGATTGACCTGAAGGTGGACAAATCACCTGGACCAGATGAACTACACCCCAGAGTTCTAAAGGAGATAGCTGAAAAGATAGTGGAAATGGTAGTGGCGATCCTTCAGGAATCGCTAGAGTCAGGGAGGGTCCCAGAGGACTGGAAAATCGCTAACGTGACACCCCTGTTAAAAAGGGAGTAAGGCAAAAGATGGAAAATTACAGCCTAACCTCGGTCGTGGGTAAGATTTTGGAGTCCATTGTAAACTATGAGATTTCTGAATATTTGGAAATGTACTGTAAAATAGAGCAAAGTCAGCATGGTTTCATCAAGGGGAGGTCATGCCTGACAAATCTGCTAGAACTCTTTTGAGGAAGTAACGAGCCGGGTAGACCAAGGAGAGCCAATGGATGTTATCTACCTGGACTTCAAGAAGGCCTTTGATAAGATGCCACACAGGAGGTTGCTGAGTAAGATAAGGGCCCACGGTGTTAGAGGCAGGGTGCTAGCATGGAGAGAAGATTGGCTGTCTGGCAGAAAGCAGAGAGTGGGGATAAAAGGGTCTTTTTCAGGATGGCAGCCGGTGACAAGTGGTGTTCCGCAAGGGTCAGTGCTGGGACCACAACTTTTCACTTTATACATTAATGATCTCGATGAAGGAACTGTGGGCATTCTGGCTAAGTTTGCAGACGATACAAAGGTAGGTGGAGGGACAGGTAGTATTGAGTAATTGAATAATAATTGAATAATATTGAATAACCTGCAAGGTAAACTTGCAGGTTGAGTCAGTAGTCAGGAAGGCAAATGCAACGTCGGCATTTATTTTATGAGGACTTGAATATAAAAGCGGAGGTGTACTATTGAGGCTTTATAAGGCTCTGGTCAGGCCACATTTGGAATATTATGTGCAGTTTTGGGCCCCATATGTCAGGAAGGATGTACTGGCCCTGGAGCAGGTTCAGAGGAGGTTCATGAGAATGGCCCCAGGAATGGAAAGCTTAACATATGAGGAACATTTGAGGACTCTGGGACTATACTCATTGGCGTTTAGAAGGATGAGGGGGGATCTAATTGAAACTTTCAGAATACTGAATGGCCTGGACAAAATGGATGTTGGGAAGATGCTTCCATTGGTAGGAGAGTCTAGGACCTGAGGGCACAGCCTTCGAGTAAAGGGAAGACCTTTTAGAACAGAGATAAGGAGAAATTTCTTCAGCCAGAGAATGGCGAATCTATGGAACTCATGGAGGCCAGGTCATTGAGTATATTTAAGACTAATTAAGATAGGTTCCTGATTGTCAAGGGTTACAGGAAGAAAGCAGGAGAATAGGGTTGTGGAACTTCATAGAATTCCTACAGTGTGGAAACAGGCTATTCGGCCCAACAAGTCCACACCGCCCTTCCAAAGAGCATCCCACCCCGATTCATTCCCCTACCCTTGCATTTCCCCATGTCTAACCAACCTGACCTAAATATCTCTGGACACTACGGGCAATCCACCTACCCTGCACATCTTTGGACTGTGGGAGGAAACCGGAGCACCCGGAGGAAACCCATGCAGACATGGGGAGAATGTGTAAACTCCATACAGACAGTCGCTCAAGGGTGGAATTGAACCCGGGTCCCTGGCACTGTGAGGCGATAGTGCTAACCACTGAGCCAGTGTGCTGCCCTGCTTTATCAGTCTTATGAGCCATGATCAAATGGCAGAGCAGATTCGATGGGCTGAATGGCTTAATTTGTGCTCCTATGTCTCATGGTACTCTATTTGCTTAAGACTTGACTTCTCAGCAGTAACCATGAATTTTTGAGAGAGGAATAAACTGTATTTGTATATTTACATATATCTTTCAACACCTTCATCATTGGTAAATCACTACAATACTTATTAAGGAATCTCACAGTCAAGCACTAAAACAATGATTTAAACTTTATTGCATTTAGCAACAGAAACAAGACCCCTCAAGTAAGCAAATTAACCCTCACAACCCAACTTGGCTATTACCCAATTAATGGTGGAATCTGGCTAGGATTTGAACCAAAAGCGGTCTGTCTCTGGAAGTGGCCAGGGTTTGATCCTCGTGCAGTATTTTTTGAAGTTCTGCTACTGACTTGTTCTGGTGTTGGATTCTTATATAATTTTCTCTCTTTCAAGTTTGTGGTGTGACATTATTGATGATTCAATAGATTCTTTCATCCCCAACACTGATTACATTTCTGGAGACCTTGAGTCTGTGTCTTGCGTTCTTATCAAAAGTCACTCTCCTGTTCATTGTTATTTTTGGGGTTATCTGTCGGTTTCAAACACAGCTTTTTCTGCAGTTAACTCCTTAAATTTTTCTGCAGGGCAATTCTTTACTTTGTGGCAATAAAGCATCCAGTTTATCAAGCAGGTATCAAAGCAGTTTTGTTTATGTAATCTCGCCAAGATGTGGCTAATTGCTTTCAGGCTGTGTAAGAGCTTGTCTTTGTCCCTTTCATCTCAAAACAGTTTCTTCCAGAACGAGTTATTAAAGTCGTGAAGTTTGCATTGTTGCATCTTCCATTCTGTTCCCTCTAGGTTGCACTATAAAACATTAGGCCTTTCTTTCTCAGAAGCCATGTTAGCTGTCCCCGAGATGCCCTCCCGGCCTAACTTACCATCAAGTGTATTTCTAATATTGTCTTTGACCATCTTACCTGTGCCAATGGCCTGCCATTATAAAACTTAATCAAAATTGGAATCTTACATTAACATTGTTTTTTCAATTAGGGAGCCAGTTCCTGACTTGTGGCAGTTAAAGATCTGGGCAAAGTATATAACATACATCCATTTTAATTGTTTTTTGCTAGTCAGATCTATTTTAATAAACCTTATTCCTTTTAAGAAGGCACCCTCCTCTATTTTATTCAATGTTGTACTGTTTACTATTGTAAGTTGAGTGAGTAAAAATTGATGCCAAATGGTGGTTCAGTATCACTGTCATATCTGATCCTTTCCAATCCATCCCAGATAATCTTACAATGGATCTTTGACTTTTAACATAGTGGGAAAAAAAGCTTTTCTCATTTGTTACAAGAATTGTCCACCACCTTGTACCTACTTGATGTACGTTTCATTTGTTTCCATTAGAATTATCAACAGAGAAATTATTATTGTTTATCATATTGATCTCTATAATGTAAAATAGACATCAGTGTCATATGCTTCTCAACATTAACAGATTGTGATTTCTTAAAGACTGTTGATCAGTGGGATTGATGCAGCATCAACTTTACCCTGGCTTCTTGTCACTGGTTAGGTTGGTTTTTTTTAGTAATAGGTAAATTGTTGAGTTACAGATAAACCTTGGTGTTATTGTCAATATTCTGAAATTTTTGATAGTACAATGCTAACCCTGATGAGTATTACAAATGCCACAACATACAATTTCGTTTCTGCAGCTGTGTGATTTGCCTTTATAAAAGCCTTTTTATTGTAATAATAAGTGTTTGTGTTACAGGTGTTGCACACAAGGCCTTTGAAAATGACATTGATGCCTTACTGAACTTGAGAGAATTTTTTAATTTTATACCTCTGAATAATAAAGATCCTGCTCCTATCAGAGAATGCCAGGATCCATGGTAAGTAAAAGAACCAAGTTTTACATGCTACTGTGTACTTTGGTATCAGGTTGTGGTAGATTTAGTACTCTGTCCTCGTTTGTCACTCTGATTTTGTAGCATTTTAATTACAGCAATCCCCCACACTATCCTCTGATATGCTGAATATGAGTTACAGTTCATTTTCTAATAGAGAAACTACAAAATACCTGTCACCGGGTACAAGCCGGTTTAAAGCTTATACAGTAGATTTGATCAGCTACATTGTCATGGAGTAGAAATATGCATCCTTTGATAGACCTGGCAAATGTTTCCCTCCACACAGTTTTTATGATTTCCATATACTATCCGTACGTAGTGTGTACACATCCATACTATTTCAGCCAAGATTGCAGCTGTCACAATTCTAGGTGTCACCTCTTGTCTCTGATACAAATAACAACTGGCCTTAAGATGGAGCTCCGACTCTTTATTAATTGTCACAACTTAATTGAGAAATGTGTGCTGGTGGTAATGCTCCATGTTCTACAAATCATAACAAAATGTATAAAATCCCAGTATGACTATCAGTTCGCTAACTGACTGCTACCCAGGGGAAAAAAGCAATTGACAACACATTCCTTCACATACAGGAAAAGTAACTTTATTGAAAAAGATTGATTCATTTAGGAAACTATACCAATTCAAAACTCAAGACACATACAGCCTCAAGTAAGACAGACAAAAGACAAATATTTTAGCACATACTATGTTTTGGTGGGGGTGGAAACATGCAAAACCACACTTGTCACATGTACTGAGACACATGAAAACAATAAATCAATCACTCACTAGAATAAAACGCTACTATAAAATTGGATCAGCTGAAATATTTGAGATAAAGGTCAGTTGATTTTTGTTAGGTGGGGAATATATATTCTGTGCCATGTGTACTATGCTACCAGTGACACGCTGTCTCCAATATCACTGTTTGCATCTTTGAACGTTAAGCAATATTCATATAGTGGCTCACAAAGGAATTAAATAGTGTGCTAGTTTATAAATATCTATGTAACTTATTAATTCCATAATTGTCATTATGTTTTATATAAAATTGTGGAAGCTGGGTCTGGTTGTCTGATTTCACTCCCCCTGACTTGTAACCAGAGACTTTCAGGCACCCTTCAGCTTCCTTTCCACTGCACTAACTGGGGTCACTAACTCAGCCCAGGGGAAATGTTTCTGTGTGGATTAGATGCAGAGCCTAACTAAACCTGTTTCAATGTTTACAATTTTTCCACATCTGACCATATGATCTACATTTTCTGTTTGCACTATATCAATACATTGCATTGCTCCTAGTCACATTTCATGTTTTTTTATTTTGCCTCTTCATTGTAGTGTTGGTGTAAGTTTTCAATTTCTGAATGCTATTCAGTCCTAATTCCAAAAAGTGCTGTAAACCGATCTTTAAAAGTATGTTGCTTGTGTGTATAAAGAAATGGTATTAATTTGAAAACTATTCAAGATCAAAACCTAATCTTTTGTCATTTTGAATTTGTTTTTAATACTTGTTGCTGACAGTGGAATTCCAGTGTGTTGAGTACTAACTCTTTATTTGTTATTCATTTCATATTCTTCATTTATCATGTGTTCCAAAACAGATCTATCTAGAACATGGAGGGTTTAATGTAACAACATTTTAACGTATTGAAAGTCTTGTAATTAAGTTCACAAGTAGCTTTTTGAGGAACTGATTGGTCCATGGTGAAGGTTGCCCTCTGGTGGTTGCTGGGAAAAAATTCTCTGCTGTCTGATATTGGGGAACAATGGCATCTAGTGGCCATTGAGTTGTAAACATTTTCCAGGTTGTGGCTGAAATTTTTGTTAACGTTTTATTAACAAATAATCATTTTTGTAATCCTGAAGTTCTATCGATAAAAGAAATAAATAATTTTGGAAGCTTACTGTTTGTAACAGCTCTTGCATTGTCAAGAAAAGTGATGTTGGAGGAAATTTTAGATCCATGTTATACTTACACGTTTACAATTATAGTGTTGCCTCTCTCGTCCACACTGGACTGCTGGAACCATTTAGGCTTCATCAGTAGAGGCGTAGGGTACTAAAGAGCAGGGAGGTTATGAACTTATAGAAGATACTGATTAGACCTCAGCTGGAGTATTGTGTACAGTTCTGGGTGACCCACTATAGGAAGGACGTGAAAGCATTAGAGAGAGAGTGCAGAAGAGGTTTTTGGGAATTGTTTCAGGGATGGACACAATTAGAGAAGTTGGAATTGTTTCGTTCACAGCGGAGGAGTTTTAGAAGTTTCAGAATTTGAGGGGTCTGAACAGAATGGATAGGAAGAAACTGCTCTTAAATAAATCAAGAACCAGACGGCACAAGTTTAGTGTTTTACAAAAGGAGAAAATGTGAGGTGAGAAAATACACAGTCAATAATGAGGGTATGGATGCAATGCTTGGAACGTACTGGAGGCAAGGTCAATTGAATCATTCAAGAGGGTATTGGGTAATTATTTAAATAGAAACAGTGTGCATGCTTACAGGGAAAAGGCAGGAGATTGACATTATGTCTGCACCAGCTTGCTGAGCATTTTAACATAACGTACCAAAGGGCTGCCTTCTGCTCCCTGACAATACTGTGATTGTTTACCTTTGCAAATATGTTAGGTTTCAAAGTTTGTTGGAATGTTGGCACAAAACAAAATCACTTGGTAAAACATCCAATTAGACACCACACCACAGAGGTGATATTAGGGCTAACAACCAAAAGTTTGGCCAAAGAGAGATGTTTTTAAGGAGTATCTTAAAGGAAGAAAGAGAAGTGGGACATAGACCGCTTAGGAGCTCTGGCTACCAATGGTGGAGAGATTAAAATTGGGGATTTTGGAGAGGCTAGATTTACATGTGAGCTGATGCTTCAGGAGTTTGTGGAGGAGAGGTGTCATGGAGGGATTTGAAAACAAGAATTTAAAAATGAAGGTGTTGTTTGACTGGGATCTGCTGTTGAATAGCAAGCACTAGGCTGATAGGTGAAAAGCGCTTTGTGTAAGTATATACATGGATACCCAAAGTTTGGATAATCTTAAGTTTATAGGTAGTGTATAGATAGTGGGGAGGCAACCAGAATTGTGTTGGAATAATAGGGTCTAGGAGTATCAAGACTCTTGAGTTTAAGCAGCAAATATGCTGAGAGTAAAGAAAGATGATGTAATGGAGTTGGAAATGGGTGGTTTTAATGATTACACAGGCTTTGATTGAGCTATATTAAATACCTTTTAATAGAATTTGAATTTGTGAGAAATGGAAAATCTTTTATTATAATGTCTCTTCCTACTTTGCAATGGATTTAACCTTATCTGATAAGTTTCATACTAGATTCTTTCTCTGCATTTGGTTTCAATGCAATTAGGGCTTTTTTTTAGCAGGGCACCACATTTGGCAGCAGGGTTAGTTGCTTGATAGAACATGGAACAGTACAGCAGAGTACAGGCCTTTCGGCCCATGATGTTGTGCCGACCTATTATCCTACTAAGATCAAACAACCCTGCATACCCTACATTTTACTATCCTCCATGTGCCTATCCAAGAGTTGCTTAAAAGTCTCTAAAGTATCTGACTCCACTACCACTGCCGGCAGCGCATTCCATACGCCCACCATTCTCTGTATAAAGAACCTACCTTTGATATCTCCTGTACACTTTCCTCCAATCACCTTAAAATTATGCCCCCTTGTAATAGTCATTTCCACCCTGGGAAAATGATGCTGAAACTTCTGACCCTTTTTCAGGAAAAAGGGTCAGAAGAGAGCTGCTGCCCAATAAAATAACTGGCAGCTAATGGGGTAACCATTACCTTTCTAAAAATAAAACATCCCATAGCCTGTTTTATACCTATTACTGAAAATGTTGTGGTGCTGAAGTGTCAAGCAAGAAGTATGGTAGGACAATGATGAATGCTAAGGAATTACAGCTATTTTTGATTGTTAGATTCCCGGACAGATACACCATCTTCCCTCTGAATTTCTTGGCATCCTTTGACAGGCTTGCCTCAACACTGACACATTGTGTGCAGCAAACCCAATTTTTGTTATGCACTCTCTTGTCAATCATGTTGTTCACTCTACTGCTGCAGACTAACCTTGCCAATTATCTTCTTGTCCAACTTGTATTCCAGCTGACCTTGTGAACTCTGCAAGTGAATCAGTTGTTACTACCCTTCCATGTATCTCCCTCCAGAATGTCTGTCCAGTTGTTCACAAGTCCCTCACCATTCATGAATTTAATATGGGCAATTCCTACAACATTGTGGCCGTAAGAGAGACATTGCTGAGTGCTGAGGACACTTTTCTCCTTAATGAAGCCTCCACATCTGGTTATATTTTTGCCCACTTGCTCTATGTCATGATTGCCAGTGTTTATGTGATACTTATCACCAGACCACACCACGGCCTGACTCCTGCTGCTCTGGCATACCCCTTCTTCACCTGCGTCACCTCTCTTTCAACGTCACTATTCTGTACTATCCTTTTTGAGTTTAATTTTTATGTTTTCCTCCTCACCTCTGCAATGAATAATTTTCCTTCTTGATTTCAACCTAAACCGTCACTTCAACTCATCATGTACCCTCTCCTTTGAGCTCACTGCCCTATTCTACCTAAACCTCTCCAAACCGTATTACACTCAATTCCATGACATTGCTAATACTAATGTAATAAGCACAGTTAAGACCATTTCTGATCGCTTCCTTGTATCAATCATTCACTATCTGTTGCCTGCTTCCATCATCTCTATCCATCCCTGTTAGGAGCTATTCCCAAATCACTTAAAACTACATTTTCAAAATGTCAGCTTTTTTATTTATAGAATCCTCACAGTGTGGAAACAGGCTATTTGGCCCAACTAGTCCACACCAACCCATCCCTCTACTCTATATTTCCCTTGGCTAATGCACCTAACCTACACATCCCTGAATGCTATGGGTAATTTAGCATGGCCAATCCACCTAACTTGCACATCTTTGGACTGTGGGAGGAAACTGGAGCACGTGAAAACTCTCACAGTCAGTCATCTATCTTAACTTGCCCTCTATTTGCCAGAACATTCTGGAACAACTGGTTTACTCTGTCACCCCCTCATTCCATTCTTTGACCTAGTCCCCAGTAAAACCATTACACTCTCACCCCAGTTGCTTTTTTGGTACAGCTCTCCTTTCCAATTCATTAGAGCTACATTGACTTGAATGGATATGTGGACAGTTAGTTTAGCTATCCATCATTGAATCTGGCTGGTCCACATAAAGTACAGTTAGGTCCTCTTTTCTGTTTAAAATTGTTCATTATTGCAGGCCCTTCCTGAAATAGAGAGAACCTCTTGGTTTCTTATCCACAGAAACTAATGTTCCAAAATCCTTCTGTTCTCTTCTCCACCCTCACCTCTAACAAATGCGTGTAGTTCCTGGATTTGCAGACTGTCTGATCTGTCTGTTTGTCGCATCACTCCCTTTCACATGTCACCTGGCCAAAATTCAGTGAATGCTCCTCTTGTCCCAGCCCAAACTCTAATTGTTCTCTAGTTTCGTTCCCCATACTGTCTCTGAGTATGGCTTATCCACGAAAACAACCTAGTTTTCTCTAGATCTTATTCCCACCAAATTGATCACCCAACCTCGCTTCTGGGACCCCTCTCAGGGATTGCTTCAAATGTTGATCCTCTTTTTCATTAAGTGTACTGGCATCACTTCTTTTCTCAAAAGAAACAATCTTTGATGCCACCATTTTTGCAAACTGCTAACCTGTCTTCAGGAGCCCCTTCCTCTTTCTCTTTCAAGCCCTTAAATGTGATGTGATGTTACCCAACTTTCCTGACATTCTCTGTTTGAATCCCTCCATTGTATGGAAGAATTACTCTACGGGTTAAGAGTGTTTTCAGCATTTTCTGACTTCACTTCAGATCTCTGGCATCTGCAGTATTTTGTTTTTTTTCGGTTAATTGTCCCAGCACGGCTGAGCCTTCAGTTGCCGGAGTCCTACATTCTCCTTTTTTAACCGCTCCTTATTTCTGAACAAGTTAATTTGGTACTTCCCTGAATGTTTTAATGGATTGGTTCACTACATTTCTAAAACATCTTTAATGTAAGTTGTATTGTTTTAAAGCACGTTTTGTAATGTATGTAAAATATTTATGTACTCAGCATGATATAGCTCAGTATCATTCTAAATTATAATCCAACAGCATTCATTGGGGTGATGCACACATCACTTCGCTTATGCAATGCTTCTCCAGCTGCAGAGCTTCTCTGGTTTTTAAATGAACAGAGTGTGTAGTGGTATTATCGTCTTATTGGAACATTCCCTCTTAACCGTATCGATCCATATGTTAGTTTGTAAATCTCTGACTGTAGGATATTGGTGTTGTGTAATGAGAATCAGAAAGGCGATCATTGAAGCATAAGTAGTTAACGTTTTATGGGATATATAAATGGTTGAGACTGTTTATGAAAGTAAAATTTCTATTTTTGTTCTTTTGCTGCTCGTATAGTGACCGGCTGGTACCAAGTCTGGATACAGTAGTTCCACTGGAATCCACGAAAGCATATGACATGCTGGAAATCGTCAGTGCGGTAAGATGTTTTGACTTTAATTTCTCAATATTTAATAACACAACATTAACACTCAAAAAGCAGCACAGAGTTGTTTGCTGAAGAGATAGTATAGAAGCTGTCTGACAAAACAGAGATAGGGGTGTCCTCAGTTATTAAAATTTATATGCATTAGCTAATTGTGATACATCAGATATATAACTGAATGCTGAAATCTTTCAAATCTGGTTTTGTAGGGGGTGCACTTTGTAAAACAGGAGTTGGCTTTATGTATATTAGTGGATCTTTTACCCTCTGAAGCCTAGTCTATGCTTTGTGGATCATGGCTGATCTGTATTGAACTCCATCAACCTATCTTGTTTTTGAAAACCCTCCTACTTTTTTCCTAACACTTAACGGGAAAAAAAGAGCTAGTCGCACTGCTGCAAGTTTCAAATAATGTAAAGCTTTTTGGGGGACTTTTTTTCCCTATTGGTGTGAATGTAAGTTGCATTTCCTGACATCTTTCCTGAACAAAAGCAAAATACTGTGGTGCTGGAGAAACTTAAAAGGTTTACCAGCTTCTGTGGAGATAGAAACAGAGGTAATGTTCTAAGTCCAATATGACTCCTTTGAATCATAGATTCAATCAAAGCAGCCTGTTTGGTCAGTATCCAATTGTCACCTTTAAATGTTCGTTTCTTGCAACAATGGCAAACATTGGCAGTAGTTTGTGCCATCTACAGCATACACTGAAGTAATTTGCCTTCCTCAACAGCACCTTCTAAACCATGATCACTACTAATTTAGAACACCTATGTAGTTCTATCTCTGTCATTGGATCAAAATCCCAGAACTATCTCTGCAACAGCATTGCGGGGGTATTACTACATAGATGAACAGTAGCAATTTAATAAAGCATCTCACTACCGACTTCACATGCCTTTTAGGAATTGATTATAAATGCAAGGTTTGCCAGCAATGCTCATGTTCCAAGATGTTTAAATATTCTTCATTCCTGCTAAGCACTTCAATTAGATTAACCCTTCTGTATTAAAGGGAATATAATTCTATTCTGATCAACATGTCCTCGAAATTTAACCTGTGCAATGCTCAAAGTGTAATAAATGAGATTGATGAGCTGCAGGCTGAAGTAGCTATTTGGGATTATGAAAGAGGGGAAGGATGGACATTTATTATTTGTAGCAGTAATGCATTTTGAATGTATACACAAGGATTAAAAGAAGGTTTGGGGTTGGATGTGTTGATCAGGAACACAGTAGTAAAAGAGGAATTGTGTATTAAGGATTCAAAGACTCAATTTGGTCGTAAGTAACGTACAACAGAAGAGCTATCTTACTGCACCATTGACCACCGGGTAGTATAACAGAATCACAGTTGTTATGGTGTAAAAGGAGGCCATTGATGTATCATGTTTGATTTGATTTTGAATAAACATTGACAGCTTATTAAAATTACTTTAGATCTGCTTTCTTGTTCTTAATCGTTTTACACAGAAGCAGTGTCTCCTTATCTCATAAAACCTCTTCATGATATTGAACACTTCAATTAAAACTCCTCCGCGTCGTCTCCTCTTCCAGGAACACAGTCCTAAGTTCTCTAATCTATCTTCATAACTGAAGTTTTTCATCCTTGGAACTATTCTTGAAAGTTCTTCTGTACTCTTTTCAGTGCGCTCAGATCCTTAAGTGCGATTCCTACATTTGTATACCATGTCTTGTCTCTAATATAAGACAAAAAACAAAGTGCTGGAAATACTTACAGGTCTGACAGCATCTGTGGAGGGAAATCAGTTAACGTTCTGGGTAGAGTGACCCTTCCTCAGAACTGGACTTATACATATTCAGTCTACATTTCTTGTAGTCTATTCCCCTGATAATAACACCTAGGATGTTATTAGCTGCTCTCTCCACCTGTCCTACCGACTGTAATGACTTATGCACATATACACCCAGGTATCTTCTCCTGAAGACCCGTTAGAATGTCTCCATTTTCTTTCCTCAATGTATCATCTCGTACTTCTCTGTATTGAATTTCATCTGCTACCTATCTGCCCACTCCATCAACTTGTCGTTATCCTTTTAAAGTACTAAATTGTCATCCTCACGGTTCACAATGCTTCCAAGTTTTGTATTGTCCACCCACTTTAAAATTATTCTCTGTACTCCAAAGTCTGATACAGTTTGGTAGTACAGAACATGTTGTCAAAGCCTTTCATCATGTGTACACATCAGAACATTTCACCAAATGCTGGTTCAAGCCAAAAAAAAACATTTTGTACTGTATTGAGAGGAGGGCAGGTATTGAAGGGTTGCTACAAAATTGGAGAGATCTGCCTTGACTGCATCTGTTGTATGTAGCCTAGGTGGTGTTTGACCATAGGTTGTCCATGACCATACTTATTACTATGAAAGTTGTCTATATACACTAAAGAATGTTTTAGCTTTCTTATACTGAATAGTAAAGCTCATTTTCTTTGTTCAAAACTGTTGAATTTTGTGGCTTGACTATTTGAGTGCCCTGGAGCTCAAATTTCACTGACTTGAAATAAAACAAAAAGTTACTGATCCTTAACTAGATCATCACATTTGATGGTCTCGTTAGGATCACAGTGAAAGGAATGTTGGGGCCATAAAGGAGACTTTGTAGAGGCAAAGAACATAGCTGAAGTACTAGGTGAGTACTTTGCATGTGTCTTCACTAGATCAGAGGATTCTGACAATGTTCCAGTGAATTCAGTTTTAAAAAAATGATGGAGGAAGTATTTTAAGAGCACTTTGTCAGGGTGAAATGTAAATTTAAGTAGGTAAAAGTAGTAAGGGTGTTAATTGTAGAGGTTCTGGTCACAAACTTTCAATTGTCCTTGGACATGGGAATGGAGACAGAGGCTTGGAGGATTGCAATATTACATCTCTGTTCAAATAAAGTCAAAAGTGCAAAATTTGACAACTTATAAGCTAACAAGGCCAGGACGATAGCCAGGATCTGGTTGACAGGGGGTAAGTAACATTCATGCCACATAAAGTCATTGCATGGCGTATCTCCAACAAGAGAAAATCTAACCATCGTCCTTTGACATTCAATGGCATTAGTTGAATCCCCAACCATCAACATCATAGTAATTATCATTTACCAGAAACTGACAAGGACTAGCCATATAAATGTTATGGCTATGACAGCAGGTCAGAGGCTAGGAAGCCTGCAGTGAGTAACTCCCCTCCTGACTCCCCAAAACCTGTCCACTAGCTGCATGGCAGAAGTGTGATGAAATACCCCCCCCCACTTGTCTGGCTGACTGTAGCTCCAACAACACTCTAAACCTGATACCATACAAGACAAAGCAGCTTGCTTGATTGATGCTCCATCTATTACTTTGAATATTCACTCCTTCCATAACCAATGCTCGTTTTCAGCAGCATATCTACAAGATGTGCTGAAGAGATTTATTGAAGATTCTTAGACAGCAACTTCCAAAGTCACAACCACTGTCATCCTGAGGGACAAGGAAGGCAAATACATGGGAACACCACTATCTGAAAGTTTTCCTCCAAGCCATACCCCATTATATTGCTGTAGCTTCGATGTTGCTGGGTCGAAATCTTCCTGACTGCAGCAGTTCAAGAAGACAGCTCACCACTGCCTTGTCGAGGGCAACCAGGGTTGTGCAATAAGTGCTGGTCTAGCCAGTGACACGCACATTCCATGAAAGAATAAAACAAAAGGTCAGTAATATAGGGAAGCGTTGCAGTAATAATGTGGGAGAAAGTAAGTTGGTATTTAGAAATGTTTAAGTTTTTAAAAAAAAATGAAAGCTGTTGCAGATTTGTTAAAGGCAAATCATTTTTAACTATCTTGATTTGAATTGCTTAATGACTTGAGAGTTACATGATTGGTGTGCATATGAACTTTGAAAAGATGTTGATTAAGCCCACACAGTAGACTTGTTAGCAAAATTGAAGCCCATTACATTCAGGAAGCAGTTGCTGAGTGATTATGAAACTGGCTGGGGACAGAATTCAGGGTAAGAGTTAACAATTGCTTTCTGAAGGGGAGTGTGCACTGGTGTTCCCTTTCAATGTGTGTTAATGATCTGGACATAAATTTTAAAGTTTGCAGATGTTATGAAATTCAGAAATGTAGTAAACAGTAAGGAAGGTAGCAAAATTTCAAAAAGACACAGACCTAATAGTGAAACGGGCAGATATGTAGCAGATGAAATGGATTGGGCATGTGTAAAGTGATTCATTTTTGGAAGAAAGTATGCAGAACTATGGCAGGACATAGTGTGTAGAGTTTTGATCTACAACGGAGTTGGATTAGTAGGTCAGACAGGAAAAGGGAATTAATCAGATCAGTCATGATATCATTGAAGAGTGGAGCAGGCTTGATGGGCAAAATGCCCTACTCCTCTCTCTGATGATACTTGTGAAAGATTTTAAGTTAGTTGGAAAAGCTAGAAACACTGGGACTGTCTTTTTTAGAAAAGAGAAGGTTATGGGAATATTTGATAAGAGGCGCTCAAAATTGAGAGGCTTTGGTAAAGTAAATAAGCTGAAACTGTTTGAAGTAGCAATAGAGTAAATAACACTGACCAAGGAACAAAAGACAGCATGATATTTTGTTAGCAGTAAATTGTGATGATCTGAAATGCACTGACTGATATGATGGTGAAAGTAGGTTCAATAATAACTTTCAATTGGATGAATACATTAGAAAAAAACTGACAGACCTATAGGAAAGAATAAAGAGCATTTTTTCACAGAGCCAGCACAAGCATGATGGCTTAATAACTTATTTGGAAGATGCGCCATCCTGATAAATGTAATGATTTCTTTTGTCTGTCAGCAGCATTTACTCATTTCTGTATTTGCATCCCTAAATCTTCAAGCCCATTGACTGTTCCAACTTGGTTATTTGAGAGAAATGTTTCTAAATAGTCACTGTTTTTCAGGCTTGATGTATACAATCTATTTAAATGCACATTTCTTCAGGTCCTGTGGGTCAGTGATTTCCTGCCTTCCACTCTTGTGAAATTATCCTTAGTGTGTTGTAATATCTGTAATGAATGATTCTGTTAGCATTGCATAGCCATGTTGTTTTGGGATTCAGCTGAATTTTGAGACTGTTTGAAGAATGCTAAGTATTTAACCTTTTTGAAGCACATTTCAAAAAGCAGTCACCTTTGAAACTGTTTTAGATTGCAGATGAAAGGGAATTTTTCGAGCTCATGCCTAATTATGCGAAGAACATTATTATTGGTTTTGCCAGGATGAATGGATGCACAGTGGGAATTGTAGGTAATCAACCTAACGTGGCTTCAGGTGAGTGTTTAACTTCACTGTTCCAAAAAATTCCCATCTTATTGACATTGCAACATTATTGGATATAATACAATTAAAAACACTTGATAAAGTTCTCCACTGGGTAGAGTCTTAAGGAAGATGAGTTGTGGTACGTGGAGGTTAATTATCTCAATGGCTGCAGCATTTCCTGGGCTGATGTCTTGGATCCAACCATCAGCTTCTTCATCAATGACCCTCTTCAATCACGAGATCAAAAGCGAGGATGTTCACTGATGATTACAACGTTCTGTACTATTCCCAACTTCTCAGACATAGGCAGGGAAATCTGGACAACATTTTCACCACAAATGTCAAGAAATGATCACCTCCAACAAGAGAAAATCTAGCCACCTCCCTTTGACATTCAAAACAATCTCCAATATCAACATTAAGGGGGTTACCATTGACAGAAACTGAACTGGATCAGCATTCCCACATGCTGTGACTACAAGACAGCAGATCAGAGTCTGAGAATTCTGTGCCAAGTAACTCATCTCCTGCGTTGTCAAAGCCTCTTTACCATCTAGAAGGCACATATCAGAAATATGATGGAGTAATCTGCATTTAACTGAAGGAGTGCAGCTCCAAGAACATTCAAAGCTTAACATCATCCAGATCAAAGCAGCCTGCTTGATTGATACCTCATCTACCACCTTTAAATATTCCCTTCTCCACCACTGATACCAGCGACATGATGCACTGCAACAAACTCATGAAGGCTCCCATGACATTCATCCTTCAAACTTGCAACCTCTGCTACCTACAGGACAGGGCAGACTGATGCATGGAAACAGCATCAGTTGTAAGTTCCTCTTCAAGTTATGCACCAGCCTGAGTTGGAACACCATGTACATGAAAGTCATTAGGATAATTTCCAGACAGTTTTGATGTGTACAACACATGAGATAAGAATTTACTTCTGTTAATTTTATTGAATTTTATTAAATATAAAGACTTAATAGTGGAAAAAAAACATACAATAAATTATGAAAAATAGAAAATGTGTCTCATTGACGCTTAAAATAAGATGAAGTTGATGAAAGTTTACTCAAAAGTAGAGGTGCACTTTACAGACCCAGAAATACAAAGCGGTGTGTCATTATTGTATCTGAACTCTTTTATTGTGTGGACATGTTTCCATCATGCTTAACTGCCCAAAGCCTTGACTAACTAGTTATTAACACTGCAATGGATGAGCAGAATGAAAAGTGTGGGGAAGTGAATAGCAAAGACATGAATGGTGGGAGTTTACTGTATATAATGTAAAATAGTAATGTTTTTAAAAAAAGGCAGTCATGCCCCATGTTGCATTTTTAAATAAAGCTATTATAATAGACTGCATAATGCCTAGGTGGTTATGCAGAGTTTTCTGTTGAACCACTCTGGATTGTTAGTTTGAAATTCAAGAGTTAGTCAATGCCCCACTTTGGGCTCGTTGTTAAATATTTGCCCAATCTGAGAGAGCAATCCTCAACTCTCGGTTGAATGTGGCTGGAAGCGGCAGCCTGGTCTGCTTTGCAGACTCTTATTCTTTCCAGGTTACGTTCGCATCTACTTTGACACTTAATTTTAGTGTTACTTGTCCATTATATTGATGGTAACCAAGCATAATATAACTCAGTGAAGATTGTTGCAAAGTAGTCACTTAAATCTTCATGGAACTAAATGCAGCTGTCCTAAGAAATCCATTAATGGACTAATAATGTTCATCATCGTCTTCCGACTCCAAACATAGCTGACAAGGATTTTATCATTGCTGTAGCCAGCTATCCTTCACTTTATTTTTAATGACCTCTGACTGCTTTGTTCCCTGTGGAGCAAGTTCTTTAAAATCAGATTTATTTTAAAGTATCTTGCTGCCAACATCATCAGCTGCAGAAAGCTTATTCATGCATATAATGGAAGTGATTTGAGTTTGAGGAGATATACTGGAATCTGAATTGTGGATATGGTAAAGAAAGGAAAGCAGACCGAGCTCTGTAAACAGCACCAAATGGTAAAGTATGTGGAAATATTAAGGTAATTTTGTTCCTATTGAGTCTCCAATCTTGACTGAGGAAGTTAAGCATTGAGTTGCAGTGGGCAATATTAGCAAAAGCAGAGCAAGTTGTTTCCTTGTGTACTTTGCTGCAAATGTTGCAAATATTGCATTGCAAGGAAAAATGGGTCACGAATAAGGTGTTGTACCCGGAATTATTGACAAATGCAGTTTAGTTGAGGGGTATAACAGATAATTAGTCTTTAGATCTTGGGCCTGAGAATATGCTAGAATATATTTTTGTTCCTATGGGGGACTCATGAAGATCTGATGAATTATGTTTCTATACTGAAGTAAGGGTGTTGATCCTTCCTAAAAGTTGCATCATAGGTAGGAGGTCAGTTGGCTGGATGGCTGGCTTGCGATGCAGAGTAATGCCAACAGCATTCATTTCCCAGACTAGCTGAGATTCCAATGAGTAACTCTGAGAGAGAAGCCCTATGATGTGCTAGGACTAAGGCAACTCTACTTTAATGCTGCGGGATGGTACTGCTTACTACCTTGAAGAATTTTTAGTTTTCAGTAACTTGTATGTTTACATTTTGATATTCTTAATGCATTACATCAATGTTGCTTTAAATAAACTCACGGTACTAATTGAGATTTCTTTAGTCTTCATCACCTCATTCAACCATTTGATTATTAAAAACTATGCTTTCACTCACCTATCACAGCTTCCTGCTTTATCTTTCCTTAATTTCTGTTAGACTTGGTGGTAGTGATGACTTTCAATTTTAATAAAATCAGGAGTAATGAGATTAATCTGATTGACTTAAAACTGAGATATAATTTTTTTTCTTTTTTAGGTTGTCTAGACATCAATGCTTCAGTAAAAGGAGCCCGTTTTGTCAGATTCTGTGATGCATTTAATATCCCCATCATTACATTTGTGGATGTGCCTGGATTTTTGCCAGGTACGACCTAAAATCTCTTGACACCATGAACAATATCCATGTTTGACAGTGGTTCCAAATAATCTGTGTCAGTCTCATATAAAATGCTATAATATTTAAATTCTCATTAGTTCAGTTGCATGCACTGGTTAGGGTGAGTCACAACAAAACATTTTCATTTCAATGATTAGCCTAGTATTATTATCCAGTTCTACCTTCTCATCACTTGATTTTTGCTGTAATATATAAACTTGTATGCTTGTAGGCAGGTAACTACTTCTCAGACAGTTAAAGATAATTTGGATGCCAAACAAAATTTTACTTGGAGTGTTGCTTCAATAATACTTAGTTAACGGTCTGCAGGATAAAATGTGAAAAATCTGGAAATTGCTTTCACTGTAGCCTTGCTCCTCCCGAGCCTTCAGCATAATAGCAGCATCTCACCGAAGACATCATCATTGTAACGTGAAAAGCATGGAGTTTCTTTTTTAATACTCACTAGCTATACATTAAATTCACCAGGAAAAAAAAAGTTACAGCTTGTACAGTTTGGTGCTGTAATAAGTCATGATAATGACCAAGAGATAATAGTGTGGAGCTGGAGGAACACAGCAGGCCAGGCAGCATCAGAGGAGTAGGAAAGTTGACGTTTCAGGTCAGGATCCTCCTTCTCCTGCCATAAATCAATTATGTATCAAATTGGCAGGCTCACTCTGAATCCCATGTGATCTAACTTTACTAATTAGTCTACCATGGAGATCCTCATCAAAGGCTTTACTAAAATCCCAATAAACAACGTCTACAGCTCTGCCATCATCAACCTTTTCTGAAACTTCCCCCAAGAACTCAATCAAGTTTGTGAGACACTATTTTACTCACAAAAAACCATTGCTGACTATCTCTAATCAATTTCTGCCTCTCAATGTCCATAAATCCTATCTTTTTTATAATCACCTCCAACAATTTACCCAAAACCGAAGTCAGACTCACAGATCTATACTTTCCCAGTTTCTGCTTAGAACGTTTCTTAAACAAAGGTACAACATTAGCCACACTCCAGTCATCAGGCACCAGACCCGTTTGTTTTGATGATGCAAATATTTCTGCAAGGGGTCTCGTAATTTCCTCCCTTTCTTCCCACAATGTTCTGCCATTCATTACATCAGGTCCCAGAGATTATCCGCCATTATATTCTAAGACCTGAACGTACTTTTCTGTAACATGAGCTGCTTTTAAAACATCAAAATTTATTTCTCTGCATTCTCTAGGCTCCATTTCTTTCTCTACAGTAAAACCTGATGCAAAATATTCAGTTTGTGTATGTCCCATCTCCTAGGGTTCAACACAAAGACGACCTTGTTGCTGTTTAAGAGGCCTTACCCTCTCTCTAGTCACCCTTTTGCTCTTATTGTATTTGTAGAATCTTTGGATTATCCTTAACCTTATCTGAGAATACTATCTCATATCTCCTCTCTCCTCTTAAAATGCCCCGAAACTCTGCTTATTGATTGAGATTCAGTTGAACCAAGTTTTCAATATCTAAAATAAAATTCTTTTGTTCTTGATTAGAACTTCAATATTTTTATTCATCCATTAAGGTAAGATCCTTAATCTTACCAGCCTTACCCTTCACTCTAACAGGAAGGAAATGCCTCTCATTATAACACTCAAACACCTCCCACTTGTCAGACGTCCTTTTACCTGTGAATAGTCTACTCCAATTAAAAACTTTAACTTTTATGGAAGGATTATCCTTTACCATGACCATTTTGAAACTAATAGAACTACAATCGCTAGACCCAAAGCGTTCCCCCACTCTTACTTCAGTCACCTGCCTTGCCTTATTGCCCAAAAGAAGGTATAGTTTTGCTCCTTCTCTCGTAGAAGCATCCACATAGTGATAAAGAAAATTATCTTGAATACATTTCTCAAATCCTTCATCATCCAAACCTTTAACACTGTGTGGTAGCCTCAGTCAATGTTTGGAAAATTAAATCCCCCATTATTACAACCTTATTATGCTTATATATATCTGACATCTGCCTACATGTTTCTCAAATTCCCTCTTGTTGTTGGGGTCTATAGCACAATCTGATCAGTGATCTTTCCTTTCTTATTGGTAATTTCTACCCATATATTTTCACTGGATGATTTTTCAGAAGTATCTTCCCTTGTTACAGCAGTAATGTATTCCCTAATCAAAACACCTCCCCCCGCCCCCCCCCCCCCCCCCACTTTCTTGCCTCCTTTTCTATCCCTCCTATTGGAGATTTGGAAATGGATTTTTTTGTGCAAGTTTTGGCAAATCATTCTATCTTGTTAATGTGTATGTTGTGTGTAAACTAACTTATGCTTCCTGGTTCAGACTCCCTGTACAACAATAAGGTCTTTAATTTAACTGGGCATGCTCCCATATCCTCTCCAGTGGCAGAGAAGTTGAAATGGCTTCCTAATAACTGCAAGCTTCAATGCAAAAGGAAGTGAAGCATTACTTATTTACGTTGACTGCAAATTCAAACCCATTATACTTTCTTCATCTAAAACCGAAAGACCTCATGTATTTCTTCTGGATTATGTTTCATGGTGTTTTCATGTGTCTACACAGGAACTAGCCAGGAATATGGTGGAATCATCAGACATGGTGCAAAGTTGCTCTATGCGTTTGCTGAGGCCACAGTGCCAAAAATTACAGTGATCACACGAAAGGTAAAAGAACGTGGAACTGTAGAAAAAAAATCAAAAGAACTGCGGATGCTGTAAATCAGGAACAAAAAC